TGGGCGGGAAGGGCCCTGGGCCCGGCCGGGGCGAGGGCCGCATCAGCGGCAGCTGCGGGGCAGCGGGCACCCCTGGGCGGTGCTGGTAACCGCCGGCCCCGCACGGGAAGCATTGGCCCATGAAATTCTCCGCATTCTTTGGCTTCCCTGCATTTGTTTTCCGAACATATTTAATAAACTGGCATCCAACTGGCACGCTGCCGACCCGCTCCCCACCTCGGCCGGCTCCGCTCTCTTCTCTCCAGCGCTCTCGGGGCTCTTCCCCCCGCCCAGGCCCGGACCCCAGATGTGCCGCAGAAGCCGCCGCCATCCCGACACCGCTGCCCACGCCATAGCCCCCGAACTGCAGGCAAGATGAGCCTGAAAGCCCCCAAACACGCGTGTCCAGGTGAGTTTTGCTGGGCACAGCTCCTCGTGGGAGCTGGGATGGGCTGTGGGTGCCCAAACCACCCCCGAGCACCCTCAGGGCAGGGACTCGGCCCCTCTCGCATGGAGCCTCATTCCCAAAGGGATTCACTCACATAAATAAAATGCTTGTCAAGGCCGAGCCATGGGGCTCTGTGTTAACGCCGCATCCGTGAGAGCCGGGCACGGAAATCACGGCTGGAAAAGCCGCGGGCTGCATCCCCCCATCCAGAAGGGATCCAGGAAAGGGTGGCGCATGGCGCCCATGCCGGCGTCTCGCTCCCAGCCCAGAGCCAGCACCTGCCGCACCGCAGCCGGCAGCCGGGCTGGGAATGGAGGCTATGGGAAGTAAATGGGCGAGGGGAACAGCACCCCAGAGCCCTGCCTCGCGTAGCCGAATCCGGCTCTGAGTGGCCCCGCTCCATTTTGCCGGCCTCGCTCAGCCTTTAAGCGAGATGCTGGAGAATGGCACGGCCCCATAATGTGCTGCGGGCATGGCCTGAGTGCCCGGCGAGGCTTTTTATGGGCGAGCAAGCTTCTCCCGCGTCCGGGCAGTGCCATTAGGATGGCGTGGGATGCCGGGGCAGGGGGTGCCTCTGGAGCCCCTTGTTCCGTGGCTGGCCCTAGCCGGAGCACCGGACCCGCCGATGCCGGGGGCGACAGCAGTGGCAGCGTGCCCCCCGGGGGGCCCCGGCCCCCCCAGGAGCCCCCCCG